TTATGAGCCGAAGGTCGCGGGTTCGAGCCCCGCCGGGACCAATTGTACTTTATGATTTTGGTTATTTCTGTTAGAACAAGCCTTTTATGCAAATGAATCTTCATTTTTATCAAAAAAAAATTGGGATTAGGTGTGAGTTCCACTTCACATCGAAATTCAATGATTCAAACCGTTTTTTAAAGGATAAATGTGAAATTCCGTTCGAATTTTGGTATTCAATTTTTCATATTTCATATTTTCGAGAAATTATTATTATTTTCGATAATTTTAGAATTTTAGTTGACTAGTTACAAAGTTTGATTGTTCGTAATTAGTCATAAAAATCGTAGATCTTTTGCGGTCACTCTTAATATATTCCAATGGAGATTGATCCCACGAACGCGTAGGCGAAAGCCGTTCATGAAATAGAGTTATAACGAAGGAGATAAGCGAGCAAAGACAAGAGCAAAGCCACCACCCCTAGTCGACTCAACTCGTCTCAATCTCATGAACAAGAACCACTCAACCCTCATCTCGTTTTACCACCATTCACGGCGGGGAGAAGCTCGCCTTTTTGGGCTCCCCGACACTGAACTCGCCGTCTCCGTTCATTTAGGCATTTCGTCGAACACCTTCTATGCATGTTCACAGCAGGGCCGTCTCTGAGATTTTGGGAGCCTTGTGCGAAATTTATAAAAGGACCCCCTTTTAAGATATATATATTAAATAGGACAATATATTGGTACTAGAAAATAATAACTTAAATCAAAACAACATTTAGGACTCACTGATTGTAAGTTTACAAGTGTCATTAAATAAGTAAAAAAAGTTACAAACATAACATTCACTAAATAATAATAAAAACAGTTCAATCTTAAGCAACTAGATAAAGAAAGAAAAAAAGCTTCAAAAACTCTAACTTTAGAGTTTCACTTGAATATATAGCATTATTATATAATAATATTGAAAAGAAAATTGTTTTTTAAAGGTGTTGTTATCGGTACTCCTAATATCTCATTGTGCATTCCAAATTTTTATATTTAGAAAGAAAAAATTTTTACACTTATAAAAGTGCCCTATAAGATTTTAAAGTGCTAATAAAAATATTTTTTTTAATATATAACATTATTACATATAAATATAAGATACAAAATTTTTTAGGGGGCTCTTCAAATTTGGGGGCCCTGTTCAATTGCACCTTTCGCTCCCCCTCAACGCCGCCTCTGGTTCACAGTGGCGGATTCTTCATTCTTCATCAGGATTCTGATGACCGGAGGTGCGATCGCACCTCCTTGCGATGGTGTGCCTCTGCCACTGCAAATCCTCTTTCTCATTTTTTACTAAAGTAAAAATCGATTCAAAACGAAGCTCAAAGCATGAAAATTGTATCATGTATCACGAAGACGGTCAATTTTTTGTGCCTAAATATCATTATTCAACACATAAGAAGAAAAACAAAAGGAGCTTGAGGTGAAAGCACACAAAAGTTGCCAATATATCCACTCATCTATGACTCACGTAACACATAAGTAGGACATGCAAGTAGTTCAATATTGAGAAGTTGCACTAACACAAATGCTCACAACTACCTAACGCCCGAACTGACAGCCCATATTTATAATTAAACTAGCCTCTATTGCCAGAACTGGATACGTGACATGTCATTCTATTTCATGCAAGTTTTTCTTATATTTGGCAATAATTTTTAGATAACTGATAAAAGTGCTTCCATCAAAAGTGCTTATCACCCTGAATTCTGCTACAAAAGTACTCTCGAACATGCCCGAAGAGTACTAAAACACACGGCCCGCCGTCACAACCCACACCAATACCACCATTTAAACCCAAGAGAACCCACCAAAAGCCCGTCAAAACCTCCTTTACAATTTTAATGGCATCCGAAAAATCACAACTCTTTGAGCGGCATTTCAGTGATCTCAACCACTCCGACTTCCACACCTACAGCCAAGGCCACTTACTAGTCCTCTTCTTCTCTCTGATCTTCATCATCGCCACCCTATTCTTCTATGCTCATTGGGCTTGTATCAAAGGTCGCCTCTCAACAACCACCGCTAGGGCTACAAATATTGCATCTTTGCCACAAGTGCATCAGTCACTGGGGCTCGAGGCTGCTGCCATTGATAGCTTGCCGGTTGTCTTGCATCGATCGGTGGTAATAGCTAACCCTAGTACTGTTCTTGACGTTGAAGCCATTGGCATCGAGTGTTGCATTTGTCTTGGAGTTTTTGAAGGAGAAGAGATGGTTAAGGTGTTGCCAAAGTGCCAACATACATATCATTCTGAGTGTGTGGATAAGTGGCTGACCGTTCAGTCAAGCTGCCCGCTTTGTAGATTGTCCCTCCGAGTCATCAACTCTCTTTAGTTAATATGACCTCCTTATCGAATTTTATTTCATAAATTTTCACCTATAAAAGGGGCGATCTCAAGCCAACAAGGCTAATTTCTCCCCCTCCTCCTCTCATACAAACTGTAGCACAAATCCCTACCCCATACTAGAAATGCATAAGGCGTGTAGAAAAGGGAAAGATCGTTGAAAGTTCGTCTTTCAACTTTGATCACGTCAATGGCTTCTCAAAGTCAATACTTTATGTATGCATTTTATATATATTAGCTTATTATACACAGTTTGACACACAAATATAAACTTGTATGTTTAGGTTACGTAAATATAAAAGTAGAAATGACTACTTCGAAGAAAATGATAAAAGTAATTTTCTTTGAGTATCCCTTTAAAATTTGAAAAGGAGCCAAAATAGAGGTTCACTTGCCCAAGGCCCAATTTGGCTACTAAAAAAAGGCCATACTTCTGAGAATCCAAGGCCTTACCATGCCTCTCGGCTCTTGTCTATTCAGATTTTCCAAGATGTGATTTTATCACTCATCTTTACGCTTTAAAGTATGTATAAATCTTATTCAAATTGTTCTTTTCGTAATTTAGATAAACTTAGTACTAATTGTCTTGTCGTTTATAAGGAAGGAAGAAAAAGCTTAATTGAGTTTGTAATCTTTGTCAGAAAAGAGTCTTTGATTATACATGAAGTTATAAACAAATCCGTTGGCAGTGGCATATACACAAAAATGAGAACTTTTAGGTCCATTTGGTCAACCACCAACAATATTTATATTGTCCTAACTTAACCACTTTATCGTTCTAAGCCGGAAAAAAGTAGCTTACTGTAATATTGATGGCTAAACTTGGGGTCTTGTTCTTTCTATCCGCCTTGTGTGGGTTTAGAGAGGAAGGCCACTACTATTGTAGCCTAACGACCAAGTTTTATGTTTAGTTCGACTCACCTAATTTATTATCATCCTTTCATAAAATTTAAAAAACGTTTCATTGGTTCAGTTGTTAATTTAGCGATATCTCTTTTTGCAACGTTAAAAAATGTGGCATAAAAATCATGATTGATCCAAAAAACAAGGACAATGTACAAAAATTAATGCAGCTATACCCGAAATCCAGGCAAAGTTATGTATTAAATGTAAGAGCATAGAGCATACAGTGAGCCACCATCACAATTTCACAAGAGTTTGCTCTTGACTATTCTTCCTTCACGCATATATGCGAAAACAATGGTCCAAAACATTGACCAGAAATCATGGACAAACGACATGACAGCACCCCTCTTGTCCTCGTCATGCACAGGGCCTCTCCAGTCTCCAGTCAAAGACATGAGTCCCTCTACATTGCCCATCTATTATCGGTGATGCCTACAAACTAGTTCCATATCTTAGGGCTTCAATCCAAATTTTGTTTAATTTGGATTAGATGTTTGAAACACGGTACTTTTTTTGTGTGTTATTAAGTATCCAATACTTCGGTTGTTTTAACTTTAAAAAAAAAAAAAATTAAAATCAGTTAAAACATTTGGATATTCAATACTCCGAATCATCCAAAAATCTATGTTGAAACACTATGAGTTTGAACAAAGTCAAATTACGTTTATGACTTTGTTCAAGCTCACAACTCCATGACTCTAGTTTAACATCATCTCTTTTTTGTCAAAAAGTTAACATCATCTCTTGATTCCAATGTTTAGATTTTTTTTTCTTTATTACGATGAAGAGAATCGAACTCTGAACCTATTCTAATTCTAACTTATTTTCTTAACGTTATTGTGATTTAATATAAACTCATTAACTTACCAATAACTGCCTTTGGGCTAACATAGCCTCTTTCGTACCATGAACAAGCTTAAGGTCAGCTAGAATTTTCACATGTTGTTCGTGGACAATGTCTTTCGGCTTGATCTGAAGCCTTGACTCACCCTCTGTGGCGGAACATCACAGAGATGTATTTGGGTTTTGGGAAATTGGAATCTCACCACTATTTACATTACTTAAGCTGACATCTTCTACTAAGTTTACCGCTGCTCGCTGGTGCTTACCTCTAGGGGGAACACACTCCTACCAATACATTTTAACATCCTACTGCTTTAGCAAATCATCAAAATACTCCAAATCTTTGAGTATAGTGTAGGCTGTAATACCACTGATTGTGTAGAAGCCGATGTGAGTTCTATTGCGTATTTGTGCACCCAAACACCAAAGATGTCCGGACAAGCAGAAATAACACGTAGTTTGGACGTCTGTTCTAAAAATTTTCTCCTAGTTTAACCGCTAACGGCATCAAACTAGTACGAAGTTTTACCACGTTACTCTTTTTATTTTTTTGTGTGCTAATTCATGACTCCTTACAAATACGGTATGGATTACGAACATGAGACTAATCTAAGCTTAAAGTTTTCCAATGGTCTCCTTTTCACTGCAGAATTGTGCCCGAAAACTGCAAATTGGCACCCTTGTTTTGTTACCCCACTCAACTACACACTATTTGTACATGTCACATCCAAAATCTCTGATCCATGCCTTTTCATATCAAAACCGACCCAAATTTTTTAGCAAAAGTCGCATCAGAAAAACAATAACAACCAGAGAGGTATGAACAACTCACTCAACAACTCACGTCAACAAAAGGCATTTCTGATACGCACCAAAAATACAACACAAAAGATTCGATGTATTACTTGCAAGAAATCTATACAAATTTGGTTTACAACCAAACCCCAGAACCCCAGTTCTCTCTAATCTCTGATTCTCGATGAGAACTTTCACGCGACGGGAATGACATTGTAATATTATCTGAAGCCAATCACGCGCTGTCACGTGATAAAGTTAAAACACTAGACAGTTTCTCAGGCATCTGTTTGATCACTCCCATTTGTAGTTGGGAAAACCTTGCCACTTTCCGGCCTATTTCTGCTCAGCATTCTCTTCAATGAATACCCCACCATTAATGGCGATGATGACGAGGAAGACGAAGACGATGAAGGTGTCGATTCGGTTTCAGGACCCATCGCTCCAACATGAACAATATCACAATTTGAAACATACCCAGAATCCAAAACATCAATCACAACCGATTCCTCTTCACCGGCAACCCGTTCCGCCATCGTATCAACCACTATCGGAGCTCTGCAAATTGGGCAGTTCGCGTGAGATCCCAGCCACATATCGATACACTCGACATGGAAACAGTGACCACATTTCGGCAAACTCCTCCCCATGTCGTTGTCCTCAAACAGGCTCAGACAAATTACACACTCCATCTCCAAAACCCCATTTTTGTAATTTTCCTTCTCCACCATCTCCTCCAGCTCCTCTGTTTTGTACACGAATAGAGGAATGGCGGAGATGGTTTTCGAGTCTAGGCCTTTGGATGAAGCAGAGCTCGAAAGATTGCTAATGGTGACCGAGTTCGCGTCCAAGGAGAAGGCGTGGAAGTTCTGGAAGCGGTTCGGGCCGAGGACATGAGAAACGGTGACGGAGCTGCCCCGGCGGCGGCGGTGGGCTTGAGCTAAGAACCACTTGGCGTAGATGTGGAGGATGAGGACGAAGAGAATGACGAGAAGAAGAGAGACCACGGCGGCGAGCATGACAGTGCCGTCGTAGGAGAAGATGGTGTCGACGAGTTGTTTGAGGGGGTTGGTGGTGGAGTTATTGGGACTGAACATGATTTTGGATTGGAGATTATGCTGAGAGAGTGCAAGTATCTGAAGGGACTGATGGGTGAGAAGGGAAAACGGAAAAGGTAGATATAGTGGGTCATATGATTGAGTCAGTGAAGAAATGAATGAAAGTACTACTAACCAACCACAAAATATCAGTAATGCTAAACTGCTAGATTTTAATCGTGAAAGGTGTTTAATATCAAGTACAATTATCTGTGTATTTATGAAAAAGTGTCAGTTGTTGATGCATGTAAGTGAGCGTTACAAGAATCAATATAGTTATTAGTGTGTAAAAATATTAGTTGCTACCCCAACTTTTCGATTTATTCAAATTTGAGCTCACTATTAACCATGCCCGTAGTCAATAGATAGGATGCTAATATAAGTCTTGTGCATTATTGGGTTAGCAAATTTTTGACGAGTAATGCTATACTTGCCAAATTTTATGTGTTGATATTTGACTTAATAATATTATAGTTGATATACGTAAGTCTCATAATGTATCAACGACTGACATTCGCTCACGAGCACATGTGAATGATATCGTCGTCAGTACAATCTAAGCTCGTTGTGAAATCCCTATCAGTTACATCCAAATGAGCAAGTTTAAGCGAATAAATTTAACAAGGCTAATAATGAAACAAAACTTATAAAATACACCCAAATGACTTGATTTTGGTTGTCCTTTTGTTTCTATATTTCCGTGAAGACGAGTGAGAAGGAGTTGACGTGAAGACGAAGAAAAAGGGGTCTCCATTGTTTTAATGGGATTAAAATGGTGGGTTTGGGGACACTCGGTTACCCTACTCCTACATTTGCGTGTAATGGTTGGCAAAAGTCTCAGAGTTTTCAAGTAGATTAATGCCTAATATCAAATTGTGGTTTGAAGTCAAAGGAAGATCCCTATTCCCTATATCCAAGGCCAAGGGAAATGGGAAAGGAAACGGACTGAAAGATTTTTCAGTGTGATCGAAATACGGACACATACTTTATATATTATAGTATAAGTGAAGAACATTTAAAATAAAAATTTCTTCTACTTGTACAATGATATATGATGTATGTGTCTGTGTTTTGAAGACATAAAAAAATCTCTCAATGGGAAGTTGGACTCGATGCACGGTAGACTCGTGAAGGCGACGGCAGCGGAGTTGGGAGAGAGGATTGGTGGTGGGTTATTAGTTTCATGTGCTATTTCTTTAATGGAGGTGGTGGAATCCCGAGGCCCTTGAGATTTATCGAATCAATCAACCACATTTCTTTCATTTGTTTCATTTGATTTTGGGGTTTCATGTTTTATTCTTCGTACAATAATTGCACTAAGAGGACTGCTCTATAAGAGTCTCTTAGTAGTGATTTGGTAGTAAGATGATTTTATAAAAAAATGGGTATAAAAAAATTTGAGCTTAAATGTGACATTCCACATCGCCCAGGGATGATCCTTAAATGTATATTCTCATCCCTACCTAGCACGAGGCCTTTTGGGAGCTCACTGGCTTCGGGTTCCGTAGGAACTCCGAAGTAAAGCGAGTAGCGCGCGAGAGCATTCCCAGGATGGGTGACCCATCGGGAAGTTCTCGTGTGAGTTCCCAGAAACAAAACCGTGAGGGAATGGTAAGCCCAAAGTGGACAATATCGTGCTACGGTGGTGGATCGGGCCCGGGTTGTGGTGGGGGTCCGGGCCGAGATGTGACAATTTGGTATCAGAGCCTAACCCTGGCCGCGTGTGTGCCGACGAGGACGTCGGGCCCCTAAGGGGGGTGGATTGTGACATCCCACATCGCCCAGGGGTGATCCTTAAATGTATATTCTCATCCTTACCTAGCACGAGGCCTTTTGGGAGCTCACTGGCTTCGGGTTCCGTAGGAACTCCGAAGTTAAGCGAGTAGCGCGCGAGAGCATTCCCAGGATGGGTGACCCATCGGGAAGTTCTCGTGTGAGTTCCCAGAAACAAAACCGTGAGGGAATGGTAAGCCCAAAGCGGACAATATCGTGCTACGGTGGTGGATCAGGCCCGGGTTGTGGTGGGGGCCCGGGCCAGGATGTGACATTAAAAAGGTGTTTGGTATACATTTAAAAATAGTTTATTTTCACAGTTTTGGTCCTTTTGGATGAAACAAAAAACTGAAAACGTGAAGCAACAAAAATAAGCTTATTCTCACAGCACAACGGAAACTGTTTTTTTTCAAAGCACAACAATATCAAATCAGCCCTTACTCTCGTGCTGTGCATGCCGGCTGTTTTCAATGGTTAATGTATGTGAAATTTACGTACGTACGATTAATAAGTGTTTACAGTTGTTAATGTATGCTGCATGCAGACATTGTTCATGGTTACTATATGCAGGCAGTTTTACTATTGTAGTACTGTCATTAGAACGCTTTCACATACGTTAACTTACAAAAAAATTCTGTTTTTACTCTATCGAAATGTTGTCTTGCTATTTCAACATAAGATGCTTAATTATGTTGTTTGATAAACTTGACTGTTACTTGAATTTCGTACATGGTTACATTGGATCGACAATTTAACAAATATATATTAGTAAAATAACATTACTTTCATAATTTATATCATGTTTATTTGCTTGTTCATATTAACACAAGTTATTGTAAAAAAATTTATTCATGAATTTTTTTTGCGTTTATTAACACATACAAGATAAAGAAGTATATGGATAACACACAACAATCCATAATATAATTAATACCTAATAATAAGAAAATTATGACATGTTTATTTACATATAATATGAAATACAAAAAAGTGCAAATTCTACATTGAGTTTCATAATCTAATACTTAAAAAATTAGGAATCAAATTAACTACATACACATTCCTTCTTTTCCCTTCTAATCCATGAATTTCTCCATTTCCAGGTTATTAAATACAACTTTTGACTTGTAACTCAATTTCCCATCAAAGTAGGTTACTAAGTTCATAACTTTCATCGTGCCATTAACAGATTCAACATCCAAACTCAACACAGATTCCCTCCTTTTCTTCTTCTTTCGTATTTCTTGGAAACCTAACGGAAAGAATTTTACTGGGAAGGATAATCTCTTCCCAGGAAATTTTTCTTGGGGTGTTTTTGTTCATGGCAGAAGACTGAGGAGGACTGAAGAGCAGGGACCCAATTGTGGGAAGAATCTTTCTCAGGGGTCAATTCACAATTCAGGGTTCCCATGTGACACCAACCAGACCTTCTGTTCGCTTCCAGCAAGTACTGGTGGATCTTTAATACCTTCTTCTTCCTTTTCTTGCTGCATATGTTTTAGGGTTGGCTGGTGAATTTTACGGTTTCACCCTTCAGATGTAGGTGTAGGCTCTGTGGATGGTGACCCCTTTTGAGTCTTCGACCCATACACGCACACTCGGCCTTGTTTCATCATCATATTGTTCGCATAGGGCAGGACCCACCCCCCCCCCCCCCCCCAACATTGCAAAATTCTGGGAGACAAATAAGCTGCCTGAAAGGTCAAGATCTTTCCAGGAATCAAGACAGACGGCGATTGCAGAACCAATGTTCTTTTTGCTACTGGACTAGGGAGCCTATAGACAATAGGGAAATTGCACCAAATAGCACTTCCACACTTCATGTTTTCACTACTTAAATGAGACACTACGATGCTAAGAAGATCAGATACTTTAAATTTTTTTCACCGTTAATTTTTATTGAAAAACACAAATACCATGACTGATAAACCCACAATATCTAATCTTATACTCCGAATACTATAGATTTGTGCACTTTTTTTTAATGAAAGGATGATAATGTCACATAAGACTTAATCATCGGATAAAATAGTAACCTTACTCTTTAAACCTGCATAAGGCGGTTAAAAAGAACCAAAATTATGAGATTACCTATCAACTACAAAGTAGGCTACTTTCTTCCCGCTCATAATGATTAGAAAAGGCTAACTCCTCGATCAAACGTTCCCCGTCCCCTACATTTGATACCGTGTAACTATTATTTCTGCAATTTGATTTGTGGACGTGCTATTTGATATCATTCTCCAAAATACAAGGTTAACGTATGTTTTTGGTCCTTGTAGATGATGTTCCACTTTGGTTCCCGTAAATTGTTGTCATTTAACCCCTGTTGTTTTGTCTCTTTTCAGCGTATTTAGAATTAAATCATTGCTCTTGAATTGCAACAATCAGTAAGCTACGACTGTTAAACCACAACAATTCAAACTATACGAACTAAAGTGAAACTTCGCTTAAACTGCAAAGATTTTTTGGGTAACTAAACTTCGCTTAAATAGTTTGGATTACTTATTATTGTAGATAGATACAGTTGAGACACTTCTGCTAATACTTCGTTGTGTTAACGAATGGAGATTTGGCAAAAATAATTTACACGCACACTTGGCCTTGTTTCATCATCGTATTGTTCGCATAGAGCAGGACCCCCCACTTTGCAAAATTCTGGGAGTCAAATAAGCTGCCTGAAAGGTCAAGATCTTTCCAGGAATCAAAGACAGGGCGATTGCAGAACCAATGGACTTTTTGCTACTGGACTAGCGAGCCTAGAGAAAAGAAAATAAAGGGAAACTGCACCCAATAGCACTTCTACTAAGACTACTATACATGTTTGCACTACTTAAATGAGACTTTTTTTTTTGGTTATTTCCTTAACAAACAGTATTATCTACATTAAAGCAGAAGGTGGGCTTAGCTCACAATGGACTAGCAATAATATGGTTCAAATTCGCCTTTAGTGATAATCAAACATAAGACCTCCTACTTGAAAGTAAAAATAAATATCACTAGACCGTAGCACTAAGTGACTACTTAATGAGACTTTAATCATTTTAAATTTTCTTAACCGTTAATTTTTAGTAAAAAATACCATTAGTAAGATTAATAAACCCACAATATTTTATACTCTGGATACCATAGATTTATGCACTTATTTTTAATGAAAGGATGGTAACAAATTAGGTGAACCAAAATACACATAAAGCTTAATCGTCGGACTACAATAGTAACTTTACTCTCTAAACCTGCACAAGCCGGTTAGAAACAAGACCCCGAGAACCAAGACTCAGAGATTACCCATCAACTACAAAGTAAGCTACTTCATTCCTGCCTAGAGCTATTAGAAAAAGCGAAGGCCATCTCTAACCGAGGGTTGGCCAGATGGCTCGTTTTAACCCTCTGGCCCTCCAAGATCTTAATATTTTAATGAACAGTACATG